GCTTCAGCCCTCAGTAAGTCTTTCTAGTCAAGTTCAGTAGTTGCTGCAATGCTCAGCCCTGTTTTTCGAACAAATGTATTTATAATCCGTATGGCGTTCTTCCATATTCCAGACTGGAGAGATTGTTTTTGGAACCTGTGCAGAAAATAAATATTTGATTTATTAATCATATTTATTTGAAGAAATATGAATAATGCATTGTTTTAATTAATTATTTGTGATGAAAATGCAACATTCCACAATGCACAAGATACGATACTTTTGCTTCAAGCTGAAGTGTGTAATTTCAGCAGCACAAACACTGACCCATATTTCCAGCAGTGGTTTGGGAAGGACTTTCCCCATTCATTCCCTCCTTAGGGAATTCACAAAGCACTGAACCAAACAAACCAGTACTTATAAATATATATGCATATGAATAATTAGCAATATGCACATGATTTAAAAATATATGAATTTATATATATATATATATATATATATATATATATATATACACACACATAAATAATATGTAATAATAAATGATCCATCTATCAATCATCTAATTGAGTTTGTTTTTAAGTAATATATTTCCAGGTAACTCTGTTTTTTAGTTTACTGCTAAATGTTTATTGTTTATGGGAGTCAAAAATCAATCCATTTCTGGATGGAGAACATAAACAGGATTTAAACTTATTGTTCCTATTTTTCTGTTCTATTCCAAAGAAAATGTAAACAATTTTTACTCGCCCAGTTTGTTGTTGTTGTTGTGTCGGGCCGCTCAAACAGACATTACACTTTTTTTTAAATGATATAAAAGCGCTTTTTACTCTTCAGGAAGTCAAACTACCCAAACTGACTCTGAACACTAAACTGAGGCACCACAAACTATCTTGAGGTCATGGACGTTGATTAAACGTTCATTAGTGTCTCTGTAGCTCAAACAGTGGAGGAAGACGTATGGGTTTGATTCCCAGGGAATGCATGGACTGAAAGTCGCTTCGGATAAAAGCATCTTCCAAAAGCATGAATGTAAATGAAGCGTGACTTGGAGGTCAGATGAAGGTGTGGACAGAGACGGCGCTCACCAGGTAGTGCAGTGAAGCTTCATCTATCCGTGTAAAGACGCCTGAACCTCAGACAGCCGAGAGCAGCTCGGGGTTCCCATCCGCTGAGCCCGCTGGTACAGATCACTGTCCCCGAAATACCGCGCACGGTACAGCAGACCCTCCTCTGAAACACACACACACACGCGCACACACACACACACACACACACACACACACACACACACATCCGCACACACACACACAAACACAGAGATATGGGTCTAAATGACATGAAGTGAGCAAATCATGACAGAATTTAAAAGGATACATAAAAAGTCAACTCAGATGATGAAACGCTGTTTGTTCAGTCTGGGAATAAACACGAGTGATTCATCCAGTGAAACAGCTGTGAACTTCCCTCGAATACCTCAAGAACCCGAGCTCATTCGCTGAACGTGAGGAGATGAATGACGTTACAGGATGTGAGAATGTGCAGCTGGTTCTGACTGGCTCTCAGCAAACGAATCAGCTTGTTCACAAACAGCCAAGAGTTCAGACATGTGAGTCATGAAGACTCACCTGATTCTGCTTTAAACTGGAATCATCCACCTCAACACGCTCAGTGATGATTACTCTATTACAACGAGTTCTTAAAGGGACAGTCCACCCAAAAATGACAGTTCTGTCATCAGTGACTCGCCCTCATGTCGTTCCAAACAAGTATGGTTCATTTTCTAAAATTATTTAGTTTAAAAAATGTTGGGGTCTGTAAGATTTTTCTTTTTTTTGAAAGAAATCACTAATTTTATCATCAAGGACACATTATATTGATTAAAAGTGACGGTAAAGACATTTATAACGTTACAAAAGATTTCTATTTCAAATAAATGCTGTTCTTCTGAACTTTCTATTCATCTGTGAATCCTGAAAGATAAAATGTATCACAGTTTCCACAAAAATATTGTGCAGCACAACTGTTTTCAACATTGATAATAATCAGAAATGTTTCTTGAGCAGCAAATCAGCATATTAGAATGATTTCTGAAGCTCATGTGACACTGAAGACTGGAGTAATGATGCTGAAAATACAGCTTTGATCACAGGAATAAATTACAGTTTAACAGATATTCACATAGAAAACAGCTGTTTGAAATTGTAATAATATTTCAAAATTTTTAAAGTATTTTGATCAAATAAATGCTGCCTTGGTGAGCAGAAGAGACTCCTTTAAAAACATTTTTTTTAATAACCTTACTGACCCCCAAAATAAAAAAAATAAAA